TTTTTTTTTATCAGAACTCTTAATTTTGTTTCGTCTTGTAATTGTTTAACAGATATGTTTAGATTTTTTGGTAGTTAGGTATAATTGAAATTATTTTTGAATTCTATAATTTCGAGGAGAGGTGTTAATAGGACGAAATTTAGATTCAGATTTGTTTTATGTTGGTATGATTGATTATGTGTGAGTAGTGCTGCACCCTGTATGTAGTTTGTTATATATTGAAAAACAGTTGATCATGGAGCTGTGAAACATGGTAGTTCCTTTTTCCCCGATATCTTATCACACGATGGCAAAGCAATTAAGTTTAACAACATAAATTAATAGTTTGCTTCTTTTTAATGGGAATGTACGCAATATACAAACTGTATAACTGTTTGAAATGAAAGGTACATTGCATAAAGGCCATAACAGATTCAAATAGATCAGGTAACATAGTGAATATTAAAATCCATACAAGCAATGAGAGCCTAGCTGTGGCACAAGAAGACGTGCCATTATGAGAAATAAATGCACCCAATACGGAACCGGAGTTACGCAGGTCCTGCCAACTCCATACTTCCAAGTCTTGTTTCTGAGACCAATTAAAGTGTAAATTGGTCTCCCCTGAGGAGGGGAGGTGTTGTATATGTAAAAGTGTGAGTAAATTGTGTACTGTATTTTTTGTATTTCTTGGGCACCTTGTAACCGTTCCTACGTTGTGCTCCACTTATCACCGTCCTCCCTCTTCTCGTGGATGTCGAGAAGTTAGGTGGGAAGGGAGGAGAATTGGGGTTGTTGGAGCTGGTAGGCGAGAGCTCGCTTCCTGTACACCCTTAGGTGTCTCGCGAGTGGGTTCGGTTCGGTAATTGGTAGAGCTGAGTTCATATCCCGGGTCTTATACGGGTCTGGCTTGGGCAGGGCAGGAAGAATCTTTCACTACAATCACACACACCTCTTTAGACCGTCGCACTTAGTAATCATTTAATTCCCTCCAGCTTACTGAATACAAATGAATCTATTAGTAAAACTTAATTAGAACTTTACTTATAATACTTTTACGGAAGGGACGTAGTTGTAATTTTGTGTCCGACTTTGCCGAAAGTTGGATGAAGACTCCCTCGAGGTGGAATGCACTCTCTCTGAATCCTGAGGTCCACGAACCCCAGACTCCAAGAGAAATCCACTTCTCCACTTTTGCCATTGGTTAAAGTTTCAAACTAGGAGGTTCCCTAAATTTTGAATTTCCAATCATGTTGCTTGGCTATGTGATTCTGGCAGATGCTGACCTGACGCTAAGGTTGACAGCCCCTTGATGCATTACGATCAGTGTATGAGGCTCCGGCTGTCCCACTTTTAAGTTATCGCTGTTCCGAGCTGTCAGCTCTCAAATTCTCAAAAACTTTCCGACTTTGCTGAAACTGCCAGAATTCCAGGAAAGTACCGGATGTTACTTCCTGTCCACATAGCAAAACTTGAACTATGTCCCTTCTGCATGTAAGAGTTGGCTATCTGCCGGATCTCTTTGTATTTACTTGATATTATCTTAATATAGGTATAATTAATACACAATAGTCCTCCAATTAGAATGAACGGTTACAACCTTAAATATCCTTTCCAAGCTGTGGACCGGATCGCAACCAAGGCAGAGACTAAACAAATATGTGTGTGGTCTTCTCTCCTTCCACATGTGTGAAGGACAGAACCCAGACGGACTGGGGCATGAGGGCAGACCGCAGCTTGGAGGTGAGGGCGAGACATGAGAGAGTCGGACCCCAGTTGTCACAAGAGTTAGAGGGGCAGGACTGCGACCTCACCCCTTGTAGGGAATATTTAAAGTCCCTGCCCCATTTCTATGTACTGCATTAAGCATATCTTATTCTAACAATATAGCACAGTTAAATCCAATTGCTTGCTGTTGTCTCTCCACCGAATCCCAACCCCGTACATCGAATCGCTCACCGCTCGGCGAACCTGAGTATCCCTGAAATACTGGGATACAACAGTATGTATGTAATACCTGTATGTATGGACTGTTGAATGATAATAAAAAATGAAATGAAATAAATGAAGCATGGGGTTCAGAGAATTGGCATTTCTTATTTTCAGGTTGTGCATATAGTAGCCTAATGGAGGGTCATGTGAGTGAAAGGCTTCACACTCGAGAGAATCGCATCCTTCTGCTCAACTTCCTTCTCACTGAACTAGAAGCTGCAAGGATGATTAATGTCAACAAACCTGACTTGAGTAAGACGATGGAGGTACAGTTGGTAAGTAGTTTTTTAATTTTTTGATAAATTAAAATCATTCATTATTTGCTGAGATATTTGTAAATTTTTTGTGTGTTTCAGAATGAAAGTTCAACTGCAAATGACCTAAAGACAATGCTTATAGCACTGAGATTCCCAAAGCCACCAGCCAACATTACATCTTCCCTATTATTTGGGAAAGTTGAACCAAAGGTAATGTATCCGTCATTATTTCCAAATTTTCCAGTTCATCCACTTGTTTTTTGCAGTCCCTTTCAGGTAAATGCTGAAGTAATGCCTTCAAAATACATCCTGGCTGCTTGCTTCTATATCATTATCCAGCCATAATTCATAACCATCCTTTCTGTGAAGAAAGCAGTCTTCTGGGATTTGGCACCGTGTATATGTGGTGTTAACCGACGTTTCGGAGGAACGTATCGCCCCCATCTTCAGGGTAGAAGAAAAAGTATAAGAAATCTGCAAGTGACAAGACCGTGAGAACGGTAAAAGCAGACTCACGGTCTCACGGTCTTGTCGCTTGCAGATTCTTATATTTTTTCTTCTACCCTGAAGATGGAGGCGATACGTTCCTCCGAAACGTCGGTTAACACCACATATACACGGTGCCAAATCCCAGAAGACTGCTTTCTTCATAGTCACCGCCGTGAAAGCCTCAAATCTTACATCCTTTCTGTTAATTGACAGTGTCAGATAATAAGAAACATCTGTTTCTTATGAAGAAAGCAGTCTTCTGGGATTTGGCACCATGTATGTGTGGTGTTAACCGACTTTTGGAGGAATGTATTGCCTCCATCTTCAGGGTAGAAGGAAAAATATAAGAAATCCCAGAAGACTGCTTTCTTCATAGTCACTGCCGTGAAAGCCTCAAATCTTACATCTGTTTCTTAGTTTAAGTACAGTCATCCTGTGATTGCATTTGATGCTACACAATCTCATAGTTGATGCAGCACTACTAAATAGCCAGTGAACCAATTCTTCCTCTGAAATAAGTCATGCTATAAAATCAGGATGGAGAAGTGGAATAATTTTTCTGTGTCCACAGGTGAAAGAAATTCTAGATAACGCCTCTCCTCGGTTAGTAGGGAAGCCACTATTTGTAGGTGTACTGTCAGGCAAGCAGTGGCACCAACTTTCTGAAATTCAAAATGAGCTGCAAGAAGAGTACCGCATGCGGCGGGAGATGTTGATCAAAAGGCTTGATGTCACAATACAGTCGTTCCAGGCAAGTACTGATTAATCTCATTTTTCTGGGTACTTACTGTATATATGGATCTTGCAATTTCTCATATAGGGTTGTAAAAGAATTGTTACTGGTAGAATTTATAATGTCACTCATGTCACAACAATTTTTTTTAATCAGCTGAGACATTATTACTCTGTGTGCTTTCCAGTCAACTCTTATTTATACAGTATCATTAAATAATACATGAAAACTTACCAGCATTCGTCTGCATTTTGTACACCTTGTGTGTAATAATTGGTAATTTTCATGCAGTGGTCAGAACGTGTGAAGAATCAAGAAGACCAGATAGCATCACTGTTCATATCGCGGAGGAAGGCCATGTCTGCCACACCTGATGTTCACCTGTCAGATTTGTTAGCAGCTCGTGAGGATCTTGCCATTATTGAGAAGACAAGCAGTGCTTCTGTGCGCAAGAATACACAGTCTGCCATTAACAAAGTGATCATTGGACGGGTAAGTAGTAATTCTTCATATCCCTCTTACAGGGATAGCTTTTTTTATATTTTAGGATGGGTACAGATACTTAATTGAATTAGTGGGCAACGTTTCTGTTATTTTGTCATTCTATATCAATGTTCAGTTTGTTGGTATTTAATGGAAGAGCTGGTACTTCCTTAAGAATCGCTGTTGGTATATATAACAGTTTTCCTGAGCCCTGCTTTAGAAGGCAAAGTAGTTAGTTTGAAACTGCATTTAAATGATAAAAAGGGTAAGACTACCAGGAAAAAGTTAGTGAGTTAAAATATGGGCATAGTTCCTGGGCCTTAGATTTCTCATAAATATACGATGGGGTACCCAAAAGAAACCAAACTAATTTTTTTGTGTGCAGAGCTTTTGTCATGCCGCGTTTTGCCGCTATGAGCGTAGAGCTAACATTCCTGAGTCGATAAGCCGACTACCGTTGCTTCAGAAGGTAAGGACTAGTTTCGGCAGAGTTTATAGTGACAACCGTTTTGTGTGATCGTCGTTTTTGCAATGGCTGATTTTCGTGAACAGCGTGCGGCAGTGAAATTCTGCTTTTTGCTTGGGAAAAGTGGAACAGAAACTCTTGAAATGTTAAAAACGGCGTACAAGGACGATGCTATGGGGAAAACTCAAGTGTTTGAGTGGTTTTCCCATTTCAAAAATGGTGAAATGTCAGTTGATGACAAACCTCGTTCTGGTCATCCTTCCACGGCCTGAACACATGAAAATGTTGAAAAAATTCGTGAAATCATCAAGGAAGATTGACGACGGACCATTGAAGAAATTGTGGAGCTGTCGGGAGTGACTTGGAGCTCAGTTCAGCGAATTTTGACAGAAGATTTGGGAATAAAAATGGTGGCTTCGAAATTCGTGCCACGACTGCTGACTGCTGAACAAAAACAAGGTCGCGTGGAAGCATGCTGTGCTTTGAAAGAAGAGTCCCGAAATGATCAAAACTTTTTTTCAAAAATTATCACCGGTGATGAAACCTGGTGCTATGCTTACGATCCTGAATCAAAGCAACAATCAAGGCAGTGTAAGACTTCAAGTTCGCCTCGCCCCAAGAAAGCTCGTCAGGTGAAATCAAACATGAAAACAATGCTGATTTGTTTTTTCGATGTGAGAGGAGTCGTCCATTCAGAGTTTGTTCCGCAGGGTCAGACAATTAACCAGGCTTTCTACTTGGAAGTTTTGAAAAGATTGCGCAACAGTTTGCAGTGGAAGCGGCCAGATTTGTGGCAGTCGGGTGACTGGTTTCTCCATCATGACAATGCCCCTGCTCACACAGCCCTGTCTGTATGACAATTCTTGACCAAAAATGGTATGACCCCTGTTCCTCACCCTCCATACTCACCCAACCTTGCCCCGTGCGACTTTTTTTTGTTTCCTCGAATGAAAAGAGACATGAAAGGAAAGCGTTTTGCTGATGTTGCTGAGGTGAAGGAAAAAACGACGGAGGCGCTGTCAAGCATCTCAAAAGATGAATTTAGACAATGTTTTGAAAAAATGGAATAAAAGACTAGACGAGTGTATTAGTGTAAGTGGAGAGTACTTTGAAGGGGATTGAAGGTTTGTGCTTAAAATTTGAATAAATAAGTTTAAAAAAATAAGTTCAGTTTCTTTTGGGTACCCCCTCGTATATTGGTTTAAATTAACAGTTAGTTACCTTTCATTTAAAGTTTCCAAGGTCAGACTTTATATCTATACTGGCTTATAAAACTCAGTACACTATAATATATACTCCATGCCAAATCATTTTCATAAACCCTTGCATAAATCAGGCATTTAAGTTTTTGATCATAGAATTTTAGAAGACAATATTACTGTACTTATAGTGAAAAATTGAAAGAGATAATGCTTATCTGTTTGTAGGTTCCTGATAGAGGGGGTCGGCCAAGTGAACAACAACCTCCACCCCCCGAGATGCCAAGTTGGCAGCAGCAGCGTTCTGGAGGTATGTCTGACATTTTGGTTTGAGATGGAATTGACAGACTATATAACCTAACTTTATAACCTTGTAATAACTGTATTGAAATATGGTATTAGAAAGTTAACATAGAAGACTGCTTCATCGAATTAGATATCAGTAACCAGCAAAGCATGATTTGAGATGTGAAATTTGTGTGGTAACATGCTGTAACACATCTGTTAGTATGTGGTATTAAACTGTCCGTTTGAACCATAAATACTCGCGCACAGTAGCATGTGCTTTTAGTAATTGCTTCTTCCTTTCTGAAATAAGTAACTTTACGTAGAAACAAATAAGATATGTGTTTCATCTTGCAGGTGGTGGAGATGGAGGCAGAGGAGGATTTCAAGGTGGTAGAGGAGGTGGGGGTGGAGACCGAGGAGGCAGAGTTCAGGGAGGATGGAATCAAGGTGGTGGTGGAGGTGGTTATCAAGATAGAGGTGGTGGCTATCAAAACAGGGGTGGAGGATATGGAGGAGGCAGTTATCAGGATAGAGGAGGTGGCTATCAAGATAGAGGAGGCAGTTACCAGGATAGAGGAGGTGGCTATCAAGATAGAGGAGGCAGTTATCAGGATAGTGGAAGTGGTTACCAGGATAGAGGAGGCAGTTATCAGGATAGAGGTGGTGGTGGTTATGGAGGTGGCTACCAGGAGAGAGGGGGTGGTAGAGGAAGGGGTGGTGGTCGTGGAGGCAGAGGTAGGAACAATTACTATTGATGGATGGAGTCATTTCCCTGGCATCTGTCTGTAAAAGTTTGTGATATAATGCTTACTTCATGGTCTTGAAGATCATTCGACATGAAAGCAATCCTTATTTTGAAATCCAAGCCTGAATGCAGGATAATCGTAAAGAGTTCTTTCCTTTATGACCATTGAGAAAGAGACTGTGTGAGTCCTTAATGGTGTCAGTATGTTGACAGAACATAGCTATTAAATGTATGATTGTTAATGAGTAATGAAGCGAAACAGGAAAGTGACTTATCACTAATGCCCTAAAGTATAGCGAGTGAAGTGTGTATATTGATAGCTTATTTTATAACTTTTATGCATAGTATTGTTTCCGTTGTGAGATGCCAGTTTCTACAGATAATCTAGTGTTTTCAATGAAAAACAGTATTTTCTGGAGAAATGAAATAACAGGCTTCAAGCTGACATAGATTTGCTATCACATCAGTTGCTTATAAATTCCATATTGATTTAAATTATTTTACTCTTTCGTTTAAATTAACTGATATGGAAATGGTTACATATATATTATATATGCCTTTACAGTGGAAACTGGTTACTTTTCTTTGTTTATGTACCACTTTATAGTGATCATAATTGTAACAGCATAATGATGTTGGCAAGAATGATTCTTCAAAGACATCTCATGAAGTTCGATGGTATCTGATGTTATGTGTATATTGTGTACATGAAAGTCAATCAACAGTCGAGTTCTGTTATATTGTATTGATGTTGCTCTGAAAGCCCCTTTCCCTTCAAAGTAGGTGGTCCGAAAGATGTCAGCACTGGAAGAATTGTTAACACATTGCGGACCGGTGGTTTAAACATTTAAATCACCCTGGGGACCGGCATTTTTAAACCTACTACCCTAACTTGTGCACTGTTCACTTTAAAAATTAATATAAAATCTCCTAATTAATTTTATGAACTGAAATTTTTGGAGAACACTTACCAGAGCTCCTAGAAGTGCTTGCGCATGTGATATCTCTGGAAACGTTCCCCTTTGTGAAGAGGCATTACGCACAAGTTGCACATGTAGGCAGTTCTACTCTTCATCTTGTGCTCTGCGCACACACAGCACTGCCTAGAAGGGTGTTTCTTCTTGCAATATTCACTCTTCACAATTTTCATGAGAATATGTTTCCGCATATCACCCGAGAGTTGGCCAGGGGGGTCTACTTGAGGCCTCTGGCGGGTGCGAACAGATGGCCCCGACTGCACTATGTCTGTGTCTGATGCAGGTACTGCCGCCACCGTGATGTCAGTAGCCCAAGCTTTTGCCAGTTTCAACAGAAATGCTTTGTATTTCAAAGTAGAATTTCTGTTCACCTTTTTGAAAACCGTAAATGAATTGAAAATTGCACAGTTTATAAGCCACAGTGCAACTTTCTTCATCCATTTTACTGTTTTCCTAGGAAGGGAATAATAGGCCAATAACTGGTCGGCCCTATCAACTCCTTTCATGAACATATTATACTCGGAAATACAAAGAGGCTTCTTTACTTGCCCGTGTCGTCTTTGAACATCAACCATGCTCGAATTGTGAATAGTGGAAACCATATTCA